CCGGGGTGGGGGGGATGCGGTTGTGCGCTGGCCTCGTACCTGGCCGGGCCCTGTACGGGTGTGCTGCCTGTGTCTGACTTGTCCCGCCACTTCCTCTGCGGGTTTCGGGTCACGTCTCAGCCAGACGCCCCGTGGATGCAGGGCAGGGCAGGGCGCTCTTGCACGTAGCCGCCTGGCTCTGGTGAGCGAGCTCTGCCCCCGTGCCACCTGGCATGGCTGGCTGCAGGCAGGGGCAGAGGCCGTGGCCTGGGGTGATGGGACAGCCTGGCGCTGAAGGGAGATGCCTGCCCTGCTCCCTTGTCTGGGGCCTCCCTGGGCTCTGCCATGCTCCAGTGCATTCGCTCCCCTCCAGCCCTTCTCGTGGACCTGGCCCCAGGCCCAGGTCAGGGGCAGGGTCCTGACCTGGCTGCCTCTGGAAGGGCTTGGCCCCATGCAGCACAGAGCTCCCCTGTGGAGCAGCCCAGGTGGCAGCAGGCCGTGCCACACGGCCCCTGCCCTGGAGCAAGCTTGGGCCACTGCCAGGGTGAAAAGGGATGGGACGCTGGATGTGCTGAGCTCTGCCGGGAGCCCAGCCTTGGGGCCTCCCCCTTGGGCAGCTGCAGTTGTTGGCAACCGGGGTTGTTGGCATACGCGGGCGCCTGCTGCTGAGTAGGGCTGGGCTCAGTCATGCTCCCTCCAGGCCCCCGAGCCATCCAGTCCCTGCCCCCTCACCCCAGGGCCGGCAGGCAGGCAGGCGGGGCGGGACGGGACGGGACAGGGCCGCTGGCCCATGCTAGTACATCTCAGCCTGTTTCCTGCAGCGCTCGGGGTCCTGAGTCCAGCTCCTTGGGACCCGGCAGTCAGCTGCGCACAGCCTTCCCCGCGCCCCCCCTTTGTGCCTGGGAGCATCCCAGCTGCGTGGACGCTTGCGCTCTGCATTGACTCTGCCCGTGGGGGTCCTCAGAGAGCATTCAGCGCTGCACAATCTGCTCTCTGTTGCCAGCCCAGGGACGGCCCCATGTGACTGGCGCAGCTCGGCCATTCAGCCGGGCGGCGGGCGGGGGAGTCAGCTGTATGGTAATGGCTGTCCCGGGCTCAATGGCACCGGCTGCTGATCTGTCTGAGACTGACTGTGCCCGCGGGGGGAGTAGGGCGAGGGCAGCAGGCACAGCCTCCCTCTGCTTCCATCGTCACCCATGTCCTCCCCGAGGGTGCTGGTCTTAGGGTGCCTCTCCTGCCTTGTGCGGGACAGCGGCGTGCCCCCGCTCCCCGGGCGTGAGCTGACTGTGGTCTCCCCTTGCAGAGCCAGGACAGGACCGTGTTCATGCCCAGAGTGACCCCAGCAGCCCCGGCATGACATCAGGGAACGGAAACTCTTCTTCTACGGTTGCTGGCACTGCCCCCCAGAATGGTGAGAATAAACCACCACAGGCCATTGTGAAACCCCAAATCCTGACGCATGTTATCGAAGGGTTTGTGATCCAGGAGGGGGCAGAGCCTTTCCCGGTACGCACCGTCTTCTTTTCCCCGTTTTATGTTGTCTTGTTTTGATGTTCTCAGCTCGCTGCGCGTGGGTGTCTCTGGCTGTTCTGGTAGCGATGGCAGCAGAGCCCCTGGGAGCCCTCGGGCCCCGCAGCCCAGCTCGCTGCATGCCTGGCGGTGTGGGCCTCCCTGGGGCTGGGGGGTCTAGTGGCTAGAGCACGGGACTGGGAGTCAGGGCTCCTGGGTCCTATTCCCAGCTCTGCCATGGCTTGTTCGGCGGTGACATGAGCACATCCCTGAGGCTTGTGTGGCCTCTGAGTGCGGGGGCTGGGGGTTTGACATCTCAAGCCCCTTTCCAGGGAGGGGGTTGCATGCCTGCAGCTTTTGCGCTCTCCTGTGAGAGTCGGGGTCCTTGGCACCTGCATGTCTCTTGGCCCCCAGAGTCTCATGGGTCTCAACCGCTCTGTACCTCTGCTCCCCTGTGAGAGCCCTGGGAGGTGCTGAGTCCGCCTGGCTACAGGGAGGTGGGATGGAGAAGTTCACCCCAAGCCCCGCGGGGTCTGCAGAGTGCCTTGGGACCCAAGGGCTTTGGCTGCTGCGGAGTGAAGCACTGGGTGATGCTGTCTAGAAGCAGGGGAAGGCAGAGCCCGGGGCGGCCGGTTCTGTGCACGTTTGTTCTCGTGCACAGTACTGTTCCTCTAGCCTGGGGGCACTTTGGGCTCCACATCCCACCTTGGGGACCAGCGCTGTTTGTGTATGGCCTGGTTCCCTCTTGGCCAAGGTGCTAGGGTGCTGCAGTCCTGGTGCCCCCACACTTTCCAGCACTGCCTCGGGGGCGGGCAGCAGCCCTGTGGGGAGTGTGGTGGGCAGCCTCCTGTCTTCCCCACCCTGGCTTTTTGGAGAGTCTTGAGCACAGCTCCTTGCCTGGGCCCAGGAGCTGGGGCCATTGACCCCAGGCGCCACGGCTGGCGCTGTCTGCGTGCTCTAAGGCCGTGGCAAGCTGGAGTGCAAGCAGCTGGCTGGGGCCACGTGCCCGCACATGGCAGGCAAAGTGGGGAAGCTGAGCTGGCTTGAACCAGAGCCCCAGGCCTGGGGAGCTGAGCAGAGCAGCCTCATGAAGGGCATAGAGTTGCCTGCACACTAGAGCAGCCACGCTTACCTTTGAACCAGGGCAGGGCTGGCAGCTGCAGTTCAGGGCTTGTCTTGGGCAAGGCACCTTGGCACTGACCCACAGCCAGCGGCGGGGGCAAGGGGCGTGATGGAGACAGACAGCCTTCTCAGCTGTAGACCATGGGCCATGCATTCCCCGTGGCTGCACTCGGTCTGCTTGCTGCCTGCCATGCCAGGGCCTTGTGTTCCCACATCAGGGCTAGAGGCTGGGCACCTGCCTCCCACCCTGCTAGCAGTTCTTGTGCCACAGACCTCTGCTGTCTGCAGCCGGCGGCTGGGGTTCTAGTCTGGGAGCCCCCAGCCCTTCGGCTGAGCCCCGTGGGGTGCTGGCCCACAGCTAGCAGGCAGGGGGAGGGGAGCAGTCTGACCCTGCCGCATGCCTGGCTCTGCAGGTGGGGCGCTCCTCGCTGCTGGTGGGGAATCTGAAGAAGAAGTATGCGCAGGGCCTCTTGGCTGAGAAACTCCCACAGCAGGACAACACGACCACCACCGACTCGGAGATGGAGGAGCCCTACGTGCAAGGTAGGCCTTGGCTGGCGGGGTGCTGGGGCTGCTGGTGCTGGAGGAGGCAGGGCAGGGCAGCCTGCTCCCTGAAGAGCCTGGCAGCACTGACGGTTAAGCCTCTCTCCCGCCCCGCTGGTGGGCTGCTACCGGGCCTCTGTTCCTGGGCCGGGGACCCAAGGCCCAGCACGGCAGAGAGGAAATGAAGACAGCCAGGAAGGAGCAGTGATGGGAGCCATGGTCCTCACCTGGCTCCACGGTGCACTTGTGCGCCTCGGGCAGGCTGTCAGTAACTCTCAGCCTCCCCATGGCCTGCGCTGCGCTGCTCCCACAGAGCATGTGGCTCCAGGCATGACCGCGCCAGGGCCCTGCTGCAAATGGCAGGACACAGCACCCCGGGGCTGGGCCAGCTGCTCTGTGTGGGGGTAGGGGAGATTTTGGGGCTGCCAAGGCAGTGGTGAGGGCCCCTACGTGCTGTGGCTCAGAGCTGAACGCTCTCATGTTCCCCCAGAGTCCAAAGAGGAGGGGACCCCTCCGAAGCTGAAGTGCGAGTTGTGTGGCCGTGTCGACTTTGCCTACAAGTTCAAGAGGTCCAAGCGCTTCTGCTCTATGGCCTGTGCCAAGAGGTACCTGCCCCCAAGCCTCTCCCCTGGCCCAGCACAGGGCACAGGTCCCTGCATGCCCCTTGCCCCTCACCCCATCAGCCCTGGGGCCCTTGTTTTTCCTGCTGGCCCAGGGCAGCAGTGTTGGATGTGCAGACCCGGGGCTGGTGTGCAAGGCATGGGTTGGGGCCCGTTGCTGACCTGCCCTGGCTTCCCCTGGCAGGTACAACGTCGGGTGCACGAAGCGCGTGGGGCTCTTTCACCCTGACCGCAGCAAGCTCCAGAAGCCCGGGGGACCCCCGCACGGGCGCCGCCGCACCTGCAAAAGTGCCCTCCCCACCCTCAGCAAGGACACCAAGAAGCAGGTGAGCCTGCTGGGTGCTGGCATAGCCTCTGCCAAGGTAGCCACGATGTGGGAATCTGTTTCCCAGGCTCCTGTTGAGCTCTTGGTCTCACCATCGTGTATTCCTCCAGGGCCTATTCCTAGAGCCTGTCCACAGCCCGTGGGCTCTGACCTGCCCTAAGATCTATGAGCAGGTTGGGGCCAGCAATGCTCTGTGCCTGGGCTGGCCAGTCCACAGTAGCAGAGGACCAGAGGGCACCTACCCACCCTGTGCTGTAGCTGGAAGAGCCACCTTCATGCTAGCAATGGCATAGGTCCCAGGAATCCAGGGGCCCTATCCCATGCTGCTGTGCCCGCTCGGCTGCTCCCCTCAGGGCCCTGCCTCCAGGTGCCAGGAGACTGGCCAGCACGGGGTGCTGTCTGCCCTTCCCCAAGGCTCAGCTCTCCCTGTGCCTTGCAGACACCGGTGTCCCTCTCCACGGGTTCGGTGCCACTGTCCGTCACAGCGTCGCTTCAGCTCAACCATGCCCAGGAGGACTCCAGCCGCTGCTCGGACAACTCGAGCTATGAGGAGCCACTGTCGCCTGTCTCGGCCAGCTCGTCAGCCTCGCGCCGACGCCAGGGTGAGCGCGACATGGAGCTGCGCGACATGGAGCTGCCCGACATGCACATGCGGGACCTGGTGGGCATCGGGCACCACTTCCTGCCTAGCGAGCCTACCAAGTGGAACGTGGAGGACGTCTACGAGTTCATCCGCTCCCTGCCTGGTAGGCATCCCTGGCTTCCCACCACCCTGGGGTTACGGGTACTGAGCCTGAGGGCTTGGAGGGCTGCTTCTCCGGTCACAGGAGACGGCACAGAGCCGTCCTGGGGGACCGGGGCTGGGGCTGGGAGCCGACATGGTGAGGGCCAGATGAGCTGCAGACTGCCTGGCCCCCTCCTGCCCCACATCCAAGAACTCCTGGCTAGGCTGGGAGGGCCTTTGGAGGTGTGGGGGATGCCTCCCTTGCCCCTCTGCTGCGTGCTGTCCCCTGAGCGTCAGGCTAGGCCATGGGGCCTCTGCTCCCTCTCCTGAGCCTGCATCTTGCCTGTGCAACGTCTGCCAGCCCTTGCCAGGGTTAGTTCAGTGGGATCCTGGACTTGCATGCCCAACCCTGTGTGCTGCTCGCATTGTCCCCTCCATGCCACAGCTGCACAGTGCTGGTCCCCCTGCTCCGCTGATGGCGCCATGCGGTATGGCGGTGTTTGGCCAGATCTGGAAACCCGCAGTCACGGCTGCCTCCCCCTCCCCTCAGCAGGGGACAGGGAGTCACAGGGCACCCTGCTTCCACTCTGACCTCCAGCCTGGAGCCCCCCGACTCATTGCATCTGGAGCTAGAGCTGGCTTGGGGTGCAGCACCTGTCGTGCCCATGTTCTCCTGCAGCTGCCTCAGGGCGGGACTTCGAAGCCAAAGCAGAGCGAACAGGGAGGGAAGAAGAAACAGGAGCCCTCAGGGAGGCCTTGCTAGAGCTGGGTCATAGCTGCCATGCAGCGCTTGCTCCTTACCTCTCCCAGGAGCGCGGCGGGGGCTGTGGTGGGACCGCACCCCGACCTGGCAGCCGGGCTCCCAGAGAGGCTTGATGGGTTGCAGTGGAAGAGGGAGGAGCTGTGCGGGCGGCCTCAGCCAAGGGGGTGGCGCAGGCCCAGGGCTGGCGCTGCCTCGCTCCACAGGTTGCCAGGAGATCGCGGAGGAGTTCCGGGCCCAGGAGATCGACGGGCAGGCGCTGCTGCTGCTGAAGGAGGATCACCTCATGAGCGCCATGAACATCAAGCTGGGCCCTGCACTGAAGATCTACGCCCGTATCAGCATGCTGAAGGACTCCTAGAGCCGGCATCTCCCGGGCTGGCAGAGACCTGCCATGGTGCCCGCGGGGACAGCTTGGAGGACGCTGGGCCTAAGGCTCCCCAGGGCCCCCAGGCACTGAGCACAAATGGCCCCTCAACACGCTGACGGGCACGGACGCTGTGGGGGTCGATGTCTGCACGGACCCTCCTTCCCTGCCCAGCTGCAGGCAGGGAAGGGTCTGTACATACGTGGTAGCATTAGCTTCCCCTTTCACTCCCAGCCCAGGTCGTGCAAGGGCAAGTTGAGATGGGAGCCTGGGCACGCAGCAGATGGGGCAGGGTGCACCTTCTCCGATGTAGGCTAGGCAGCCTCTTGGGAGCCGCCTTTTCTCTATCTCCTTGCCAAGGCTGGACAGGGCGCAGCAGCTCGGACTGGACCCAAACCTACTTGAAACCTCCATGCTAAACAGGATGGTTGCCTTAACGTGGGGTGCGCGGTTGTGCTGACAGCGGTGATGCCCTCTGCTCCGAGCACACAGCCGGGTCCGGGGCCTGCACAGCAGAGGCTGCTGGGCATGGCGGCATCGTCCTCCATGCAGGCTGGTAACTGAGTCTGGCATCTCACACTGTGAAGCTCTTCTGGACGACGGGGCTACTCCTGCTGCAGCACGGGGCAGGGGTGATGCCAGGGTGTGACCACGGCCCTGCCAGCCCAGGTTGCACTGGGGCTGGGGCTCCACTCGTCTCCTCCGGGCTTGGGCACCAGCAGAGCCAGGACTGGGCAAGGAGCTATGCCTCCCTGCCCTGGGGGGAAGCAAGGAGAGATTAGCTCCTTCTGCCTCCCCTTGGCTGGGCCACCCCCTCCTTGGCCCCCAGTTGGAGCTGCCTGCTGGACTCCTGTCCCTCCTTGCAGCACAGGTGCTGGGCCTTGCTCCTGTGTCCAAAGAGCCCGTTTTGGCCTCTAGGATTGAGGTCTGATGGCCGGGAGCCTCTTCCTTCTGGCTGTGAGAAGCCCCCAAGGGCCACTACCCCCCTCACCTGAGCAGCCATCTGCCCCCAGCAGGGTAGGGGTGGGGGATGGCCCGGCGCCACAGGCTCTGGTCCCGGCTGCTTGTACAGGCTGTGCAGGGCCTCCCTGCTGCCTGGGCTGCACACACCTCTTTTTAACCCCTTTTTCTGTTGTTTTTAATAAAGCATTGGAAAAAATAACACCCCCTGGCCCTCTATCCCTCCCTTCCCAGCCCATGCTGTGGGGAATGGGGCCCTGGGTTCTGGCAGTGCCTGAGCTGAAGCTCACGAGCGCAGGGGCTCGGCTGCACTGGCTCTTGCTCACAGCTGAGAGCTCAGCCCACGGCTGTGCCGGCTCTGCAAGCCCAGGCTCTGCAAGCTGTGGCAGTGACTGCGGGGGCTTGTGTTTGGGTCTGGTTTGTCTGGCTTCCTGTAGGGGCAGAGGCAGAAGGACCAGAGGTCCATGGAAGGGGCACAGGCTTGTGCTGCTGGGGGTGGGCAGGGGGCTGCTGTTCCTGAACTTGCTGTTGTAACTGTACTCGGAGACTCAGCTGTGGGACCCCGGCGTGCTGGGGAGGGGGAATCCTAGCAACTGGAGCTGGGATATGGGGCTGGCATAGGTTGGGCTCCTGGTGGGCCCAGTTTAGGCCTGGCCCCAGCCCTGCAGCGCACTGAGTGCCACCCTGGCAGGGAAAGGAGCCAGGAGTGGGATGGGGGTGCACGTGTGGGCACCTTAACATGCCCCAGGAATCAAGGTGCAGGGGGGGCATCTTTGCCCGGGGTGAGGCTGCTGGACTGTGGCCGCCAGTGACTGCCACCGTTGGGGCACCCCAAAGCCACCCCCTTGCACGCCCTGACACGTGCCTGGCTCCCTGCAGCGGCTGGCCTCAGTAGGGCTCGGGATGGCACTGCAGGCAGCAGTACTGGATGCCAGGA